CACAAACCACCTGACAATATTAAAGTGTGATACTATTTGTATTAAAATAAAAAAAGATATGTCTATATTTGCATAGAATATTATTTTAAGACAAGAATTGGTCAATGGAATGGAGGAGATTGGGGAAGCATTTTTTTTTTTCACTGTATGTCCTTCTGGTACTGTTTGGACTTTGTACCATGACAAGGAAGTGTTATACTTAGTCATGTATTAAAGAAATGAGAGAAACAAAAGAATGTGACACCAAATGAATGAATGAATGAAAAAACAAATGAACAAATAAAATTAGCATGTTAATGACCTATTTGCTCAGCCCTGGTCTAGTCTGGACTGAGTCAGGTTTATGGATTCTGTTCCTATTTGCTGACGTCTTTACATCTCCAAACCAACCCTAAGTCACCGATGCAGGAATAATGGGTTAAATGTGAAATCATGTCTTATGCATTTTTACAGCTACTCCAACAAATGGACACTCAAGGAAGACCCTGAAACCAAGAGATTTTTAGGAAAAGGGTGACTATTTGGAACACTTGGAGGGAAAGTCTTCTCTCACCTTATGCCTCTCCCATCACCCCTCCCTTCTCTGCCAACATAAGCACCTTTCCCTTTTCCTCGACACCTCCTTCCGGTGGCTTGCTCCGGGCAAGAGAAATGCAGATCCGAAGTGTTACCCTTCCTTAGAACTCACCTGGATTGAACATGCAGCAAGTTAAGCAACAATGCAAGCTGTTCCATATGCCTCCTGGTAAGCACACCAGGGAAGCCAGGCGGCAGATCTGCAGACCCCATAGAAGTCCTCTCTATCTACCTATCATCTGTCTATCTATCATATATGTGTCAAGTGTAAGTGTTAGTCGCTCAGTCATGCCCGACTCTTTGAGACCCCATGGACTGCAGCCCACCAGGCTCCTCTGCCCATGAGATTTTCCAGGCAAGGATACTAAAGTGGGTTGCCATTTCCTTCTGCAGGGGATCTTCCCAACCCAGGGATAAAACCCAGGTCTCCTGCACTGCAGGCAGATTCTTTACCGACTGAGCTACAAGGGAAGCTATCTATCATATATACACACATACATATATACATATGTATACACATATGTATGTGTGTTTATATGTATATCTGTACACATACATTTGCACACGTGCATACATTTGGTTCTCCTGGGAACCTGTGGAGCAGTTGTAAGTGTTGTCCTGACTGATGCCGTGCTTACTACTAACGTGGGGAGGATCCTCAGAGCGGGATGAAGAGCGGAGAGGAGGGCACTGGTGGCTGTGGGTGGGCCTGATCCCCAGGCAAGCAAAGAATTTGGCTCATTTGGTGTGTTTTTGTTGGATCAGATCATTAGACAGTAAATAGGACATAAATCTTTGAGGCAGGCCAGTGATATAGAGTGAAATGCTTTTATTTCATAGTGTGCTCAGAATCACAAACCTCCTAGAAGACAAAGGGCATCTACCCTCAAAATCAGACCTTCACACAGTAAAACACAGATGTGTCTTCCTGCCTCAGCTGCACTGTTTGAAGCTAGATTTTCTCCACTGGACTTTTCCAGAACTGAGCACCTTGACCTGGACGTCTCCCACAGGCCTGGGAGGCCCGGTGGTCTGGCCTGAGTAGGTCTAGGAGACACATACAGGCCTTGTCTGGCAGCAGTTTTTCTCTATTTAACAAGTCTCACTTGCCCATAAGACTCATTTTTTAAGTTTCTGACTCATGTCAGGCTCATTTTTTTGGTATTTTGGCTTGATGAGTACCCAGGTTTTAACCCACTTAGGACTTTTTCTGCCTAGTTCTGGAAACAGGATTTTGTCTAATTACACCACAGCTCTGATCAGCTCACTGTGCCATTTTTCCCTTGTATCCCTCAATCCTCCGAAGACCTACAGCCCTTGGCATCTGACCTCCCCAACACACACACACACACAGAGACGTACGGAAATACACACACACAGATACACAGATATACATACAGAGAGACACACAGATACACACACACACACACTGACTAGATACTGGACAAGTGTTAGTCATTCAGTTTTGTCTGACTCTTTGCTACCTCATGATCTGTCCACAGAATTCTGCAGGCAAGAATGCTAGAGTGGGTTGCCATTCCATGCTCCAGGGAATCTTCCCAAGCCAGGGACTGAACTCAGGTCTCCTGCATTGCAGGCAGATTCTTCACCATCTGAGCTACCAGGGAAGCCCAGATACTAGACAAGGAATGCTTAACATTCTGAAAGGTTGAAATTTTGATTATTACAAGTGAGGCAAGAGAGGGAAGCTTTTCTAAAATGCTACTCGAGAAACTGCACCACCTTTTAAAATCTACATCTTCTGCACATATTTTTTTCTTCCTTCAAAGACTTACCCTTCAGACAAAGATTTCTAAGGATTTGTTTTTCATCTGAGATCCAATTCCTAGTGGGTGGAAGTGTGAACTGTGGGGTGTGAGAAGAAAGACTTTTCCATAGAAATTCATTTATAAATAATTTTCTGTTTCTGCTTTCTCCCAGGGATGACCCACATACCATAAAAATTTTCAGTCTGAGATTTTTTTCAGAGGAGACGTTCAGTTACTTTAATTATCCCCAGGAGTCACATGATCATTCCCTTTGGGGGAAGCACAGAAAGACAGTGGCACGTGTGGGAGTCCCATCTCTTCCAGAAAGGACAAGCCTGCTGGTTGCTCATGATGCCACGGCCACGACTGTGTGCTTCTCTGGAGTGTGGGCCTCAGCACTGAGTCTGCCTCCAACTGGGCCTGTTCAGGCAGGAGGACGCCTCCTGGGCATTCGCCCCGCCACTGCTCTTACGGGCTCTGTGTCCTTGAGAACCCGGGTGCCCTGCAGCTCCTCATCTCTCCACTTCACAGGAGGATGTCATTCTTATTTTCAGGCTCTGCCGGCTTTTTGCTTTAAATCCGGCTCTCTACAGACAGTTTTTTTTATGAACCAGAAATAACATTTATGGCCTGAAAAATACCTTTCTCTTGGGAAGTTTTGTTGTGCTTTGAGTGCATTTTAACACCGTGAGGTAACATTCGTAGGGGCATGGGGATAAAAAGCAATTCCAGAGACATCCCATCCATCACCGTGACGCCACGCAGGCTTCACCCACACCACCCCAGACGTAGGTAAATATCCTGTTTTCACAGATCATCAGGAAAAGAGACCCAGGCCAGTGTTGACTTCGCTTCAACGCTGTCATTATATTTGCATCACAGGGAAACACCCCATGCTAGACTGCCCTGGGCCTTACAAACTCAGAGTTGTTTATTTTGAACCAGATGTCACAAAGAAGCCTGATTGTCTGCACGCTGTTTAGCTGGTATTGAAACATACCATTTCAAACCGGGTACACCTACCCTTGAGATTGGAACCAATCGGACTGCTTTCATTTTATGTGTAACTAACTGTCCGACCCCTCAGGATTCCCTGCTCTCTCGAGTCTGGTCATCATTAAATGGTGAGGTTCTGCAGGTGTACCCTTATGTTTTCCAGCTCCCAGAAATCACAGCCATCATGTCCCTTTCCCTAAATCGCGTTAGCAGGAGCAGAACTGCCATAAAAAGCAAAGAGCTCTGTTTCACGGAGGGTGTTTGCTTAGACACACGCAAAGCTCTCTGACATTTGGTCTGTTCCGTTGGTTTTTGGAAACAGCAGCTTTAAAGGAATCCTCCCCCTGGCTTTCCCCTCCTGCAACGCAAGGCAGGAAACCCCGATGTGGTCTCCAGGCGGTCCAGTTACGTTTTGGCTTATGATAATCCACAGGGCCATCTGCAGTTAGAAGCAAAATAGCCATCTCCCTTCCTTTCAGCTATTTCCCTTGGCAAAGTGAAAAGTCCTAAGGAAGCGGATCGGTCAGGAAAGCCCTGACCAAGGAGTGGTATGAACCTCAGACAAGACGCAGCCTGGTGAGATGCAGTGGACGCCGTCGTTGTCTGAGACGGGAGGCTCTGAAATTGACACCATATGCGCCCCGAGGGGTGATTGCTCCGAGGGGGGAGAAAAGCAACATGTCAGAACATTTTAGTAACACCTAATTCATCCCGAGGTTATAAATAAATCCGATGCTTGCTTAAAAACAAAAGTCGAGAAACACTTTGACTATATTACTTTTGTGACAGTGCTTCCGGCCGACGGTGAACTTTATTAGGGAGACAACATGAAGAAAGAGAAACACGCAACAACTTTTTATGGTATATTTTACATGATTTTATTTTTTTTGCAGTAAATAAAGTGGTTATAGGGCTCCAAGGAAAAGGGCCCAGATGTTAGAGTTGTGTGAAATTTAGGGGAGACAAGCTGTAAAAAGCACAGTTATAAAACAGGCTGTCAGTGCCACACATCTGGACAATACAGCTGTATGTTTCTAGTGGCTGTCGTCACCCAAAGAAAACTCAATAACCTTATTTCACCCCAATTAGGCTGCATACCAACAGGATCAACATTAAATTGCAAGGGGGTGGGGGTAGGGGAGCAACGTTCACATGGCGCCTCTGTGTCAAACAGCTTTTATCTTTCATTTGACTTTGGTCACCAAGAAATAAAAGACTGCTAACATAGCCATTTCCATTATTATAAAACCCTACTTAATTTATAGCGTCCTAATAAGTTAAGGTTTGACAGTTCGGGCTATTGGCTGTGCCAAACAATAGACTTTCTGTAGCATGAAACTGACCCGTCGGTCATCCTGACACCGAGCCCCGCCTGTCTTTCCTCCACCCCTCTTTGGGAGCCTGAGTCTAGCATCATCATGGGAAGCCCTTATTGGAAAAAGTTCATTTTCAGACAACCCAATATATTTAGAGAAGAGGGTAAATGCCTCTCTTTATGGCATTGGGGCATTTTTCCCTAATTTTTTGGGCCAGCACTGAGGCACCTTTGCAGGAAGACAAATATTACAAAAGTCAGAATACCATTTCATCTTTTCATCACTGACAGACATGCCAAAGGTTATAAAATGCCACTTTCCTAATAATTGTGTTTCTTCATAGGTGTTAACGGCAGCAAAAGCAATTATAGACAGCGGAGAGAAATTAACCTTACCACTGATAGGGAAACTCCTGAAATTTCAGCTTCTTCAGATTAAGTTGAAAGACCAACAGCGACGGGAAAGCGAGAAGAAGGTACCGGGCGGGCAATGGTGGGTTTTTTAAACACAGCAAGAGTGATTGAGCCGCAGCCAGTTTCTCTAGGGCACTTCCTCTCTCCATAAGCCNACTAAACTCTTAACAGGATAATCACAGGAAAAAATAATAATAATGTCACCTTATATTTGTAATAAAGGGCTTTATGTTTTTCAAAGAGATTCCCTATTTAGTCTCTTACTAGAGTGATATATATTGTTCCCAGGAAAATTCTACTTATATGAACCCAGTTGATGGTACAGTTTCCATGAAGCTCTTTCTCTCGGGCACAGGAGATTTGTACCTTAAGCAATACTCAGGGAACTCAGGGATGTTAAGACTTGGCAGAATAAAAATTGGAAAATTTGAAACTAGTATAGAAACAGCTTTTCTTGCCTTTTTAAAATTCCAGTGTCACATGGGAATCTGAATTATAAAAAGTAGACTGTGAGTCCTCCGAAAATTCTTACATTTTCTGTTAGCTTTGTGCTTTCCCACAACACCCACAAATGTAAGTTACTTGCTGAGTGTCGATTTACTTGTTTACTACCTGTTTTAAGTCAGTAGTTGTTTGTGATAGGAGTAGGTTTTAGATTTCAGTTAACAAATTTTAAGTAACAATAAATGGGATATCCTGGAAGCTGAGGAAGTTTTTAAAGCTAACAGTACAAAATTATTTCTGCACTGTTATTTCTTTGAAATGTGAACAAAGTAATAACGCAGTTATGAAATTCTTAAGATACAGAAATAATCTTTTTGTTGAAAATTTAAGAGTCAAGGAATTGGGGGTTGAATTTTAGACTTATAAAAATAGAAAAGTAATAGATGCATAAGAGAACTCTTTGAGCAATTAAGAGACAGCAATTACATAATCTAATCGGTATCTTCATTAGATTGGATTCCCAAAACACCAACCCCAAATCTCTGAGTGGCAACCACATGAGTCAGTGCTAAATAAATGTATGAAAACTGAAAGGAATGGCGTACTCTCCAGAAAAGTAATCTCAGTGAAGGCAAGACTAAGGGAGCTGTTGGAGGGGTGACATAATCTATGTTCATTTCAACAATGCTGCCCAGCAGGTCACTTAGAACAATTGAGGTTAATGCTTGTCAGCCAGGGAATTGAGCCGAAAGCAAAATAAGTATAAAGCTTGAAAACTGACGCTACCTTGTGGATTAGAAAATGAAAAAAAGAAAAGAGGACTTTATCCAATTTCTTCTTTGTGAACCCCAGGTGAGATTCTGAGATTCCTGCAAGAGGAGTGAGTCTCTCTTTAGCTTTTTAACATCAACATGAAATATATATCGTTGCTTTCTCTCAAATACTAGTTATATGTTTACACTTGTACAACCCAGAGTGTTTTGTTTCTTCTTTGTTGAATCTTTGGAATTGCATTTTTTAAAAAGAATGCTTGACAGTTATTCATAGCAGTAGTTATAGAAAATACTAGGGAGACTATATGGACAAAAAACAGTAATATAATTAGGTCCCTGTCCTTTTTGTCCAATGGAAAAAAATGTAATGTACACTACATGTCTGATTCTGTTTTAACCATCTATGCTTAATAATATAGTTCCAATAGCCAAATACAGTAAAAATATCAATATTTTAGATTCCACTAAGCTTAATCATTTATAATACTTTATGCTTAACATTGCATTTTCTTTGTCTATGAAGAAAGTACGCTGGATAATTAATACTATATGAGATAATACAAGGAAGATATTTCTTAGAACAGTTTAGAACCTTTAGCATGTAAATCTCTAGGAGACAAATTCCTGCCTCTAACTGTAGTAAGTTGAATATATTTTGAAACTTTTATCTGTTTGGAAACATCTTGTTGGTTATTTCCAAACATACATATCATGAAGAAAATATACTTTCTTTCTAGAAATGTATTTTAACATTTCAGAACTTCTGAATATGATTCTTTCATATAATTAATCCCAAACTAGATTTTATCTTAAAATCTGAATAGGAGAATGTTTTGTTTGAAAATGAATTTTCCTTGCACACATCATTACCTGAACATTTATTGTGTATTTTTAGTTATATTATTATCAATTTGTTGTTAATTGTTAATTTGTTAACAAACATTTCTGGAAACAAGCATTTAGAGAAACAATCTACTGGGACATATATTTTCATAAGGTTCATTATAATTTTAAAATAATTGGTTTCTATTCTGAACCATGTTTTAATTTAGTCATTTTCTGAATATTACTATATTATTCACATTTTTGCTTCTTTTTAATTACAACTTTTAGGTTATATATTAATTATGAACATTTTAAAAACATTATAATTTTAAAGTAATTGGTTTCTATTCTGAACCATGTTTTAATTTAGTCATTTTCTGAATATTACAATATTATTCACATTTTTTTCTTTTTAATTACAACTTTTATGTTATATATTAATTATGAACATTTTAAAAAACCAAAACACTTCATTGTGAATCAAAATATTTAAAATATATGGAGAATTCAGCTAAAAGAAAACATTTAATCATGGAAAAATTTAAATGGCTATAAAACAAATTAAAAAATTAACTAATTTAAATAATCAGCCAAACTAAACGTAGTCTGTACATCTGAGTTGAGTTCAGAACCTTTGGATAGGTTTTGGGGAAAGATCTAAATATATTCTAACTGTGCTTTTAAGTTGTGAATTCAAATAACCAGTCCATATTTTCTTAGATATTTTTGGTATATCTCTTATATAAAAGCAGAGAAGTTCTTTCTCTTTCTGAAATACCTACTTAGTACAAGTTGCCTTATTTTTCGATGTCCTAGAACTAAAGAGAAGGAAGACATGCAATAAAGAACATGGACAGCTGGTATTGGTAAACTTTTCTTAAAACAACTCAAAATTAAAAGCACCTAAATTTGATAAGATATCATGATGAAGCCCAAACAACCCAGAACCTGCTCCAAAGGACTGACAAAGAGAAATTAGGGTAACTTTCATTGACGTTTCCCAGCTTACTCCAGTTAAAACCCCGAAACACTGGAAACCAGCCAATGTAATGCCATTTTGTATGTGTGTTTTGTTTTAAAAGAAAGACCATAGGGACATACCAGGAAATTACAGGCTGGTTAGTTTTGATTCAGTTGTGGTTAAAATCTTCAGAAACTATTTTAAGAAATCAAACAGAGGAAGAGCAGAAACTCAGTTTAGAGGGACCCATGTGGTTTCCGGAAGGGAATAACTTGCCTTACTAACTGCGTGGAATTCTTTGAGGCTGGATTATCGAAATGAGGATACTACCAACAGAATCGTTGGATCTGAAGAGCTATAAAATTCAGTGATTCAGGGTAAATCATGTATGATTCCTTGGCGGTTTGTCTGTAAACTAGAGCAGCGCTTTCCTAATTGGGATGCTATTAATGAAACCTTTTACAGACTTTGGGGGAAATGTAAAGAAATATACATATTTAAAATAGAGTAGTATTTTAAAATACAAATAGTGACAGTTACAGGAGCTAATAATAGTAATTACCTACTATTATTGTCTGCTTGGCACTATACTTAAACTGTTTAAATGACTCTATGAGGTACAGAGTATTATTCTCGATTTGCAGATGGCAAAAATGAGGGTGTGAAAAGTTAAGTAAATTTCCAATGGCTGAATGGAGATGGAGCTGGGATTTAAATCCAGAACTGTCAGACTCTAAGATCATGTTCTTAACCACTGTACAAACCCCTTCTGTGTCTCAATAATTATACAAAATAGAACTTTTGGCTGGCAATCAGTAGAGAACTTCCCCAAAATGCCTCATTATAGGAACAAATGACTACTCAGTAGGATCTACCAACTTGCTAATTACACTGCATACAAGTAGTAAAAATCCCACCTGCCAACGCAGAAGACATAAGAGACACAGATTCAATCTCTGGGTTGGGAAGATCCCCTGGCACAACAACCCACTCCAGTATTCTTGCCTGGAGAATCCCATAGACAGAGTAGCCTGGCAAGCTACGGTCCATAGGCTCACAGAGAGTCAGACACAACTGAAGCGACTTAGCATGCACGCACAACATTCTGAGATTAAGTAGGGGAACTGCTCAAAGAAACCACCAGTTCCCAAGGGAATCCTGACTTTTTATCCAATCTCACCACCCAGCCCAGAAATGAGCTTGTCTCTGGGGGAATCTCTTAGAACTAGATTTCCTGGGATTCCTCCAAATGTCCTCAGCCCTTCTCTCTTCCCTTATGGATGTAGGATAGCGTTGGCTGAATCACAAAGGATCCTGCAGGAGACAGACATCAGATAGACATTAGACCTACCCACCACCGCACACAGACATGGCTATGTTCTGATTCTGTGGGTGAAGAATTGCACTATGGCACCCCAGGGCTTAGTGCAATCTCTAGATTGTATCATTTGGTCAAGTGAACCCAGGACACTTGTAGGTTTACCTTTCCTACACCTCAGCAGTTCTCTAGGAAAGCAAGGTCCTGACTCAGTCCCATACATTATATTTTCTGTTTGGCAGGCATGCAGGGAGGGCAAAGAAATAGAAAGTATAGAAAAGGAATAACAAAATGTTCATAATGCCACAACCCTATTACAACTAATGTTACCATTTTGGCATATTTGCTTTCTTTCTTTCTATGGATGTGTTTCTTTACACAGCTATAATATTTTAAAAGATTTTTAATCCAGTTTTATTTCAATTAAAATATACCGTAATTTTTTTCTTATTACCACAGCATCCACACCTACCATTGTTATTGGCTAGGTGACATTCTATTGACTACCATACTTAAAATTCCTTTATTGTTCATCATCTCCATTATTTCTATATTCTTTCATAATAAACAATGTCATGATGAACAATCTTATCTTATAAAATTCTTCTTATTTTGGATAATTTCCTTAGTATAGGTTCATTGTGTGTATTAGTTGCTTAGTTGTGTCCAACTCTTTGTGACCCAATGAACTGTGTAGCCTGCTAGACTCCTCTGTCCATGGGATTTCCCAGGCAATAATAC